AACACACATATGTGAATCGGCCATATATATATAATAAATATAATAATAATGGAGATCAAAGCTGCTGCTAGAATTTTAGTCATAATAGGCATTGCTTTGCTCTCCTCCAGAGTGGAATGTATCCCTCGACGTGGCCTTACTGAGACGGTTTATGATATTACTAACTATGGGGCTAAACCTAATGGTCAAGCAGATAGCGCGATGGTATGGTTTACGTAATCTACTATCCTATGATAATGTGCATTCATGCATGCATACATGCGTGAAAAATATATTAGAAGATCGAGGAGGACCTACACACATTTGGGTTATGATGGGTGGAAGCTCACCTCGTTAACTTTTAAGCCTAGTATAATTATACTTCCTTCAGTCCAATAGACTCTCTCGATGGCCCGGTCCAATAGACTCTCTACGGTTATATGGGTACTGTAGAATTTGTCTGAATAAAATATTGTAATGAGCATGTAGATGCATAAATTACTATGACTAAATAAACAAATATTTGGGTAAATAAAAAGAGAAAATTCTCTAAAATTAAAAAGGTATATATTTATAAGAGAAAATAAATAAAGTACACACATATATATAGGAGTGCCATTGTTTTCTTCATAAAATAGGACGTATCCACTCCTAATAGGGGAAGTTCATACTTTTAATATGATCAAATAAGTCGTATTTGAAGAATACATGTAGTCTTATTTGTACATTTTGTCTAAATTTCAGTCAAGCAATTTGTAATTCTTAATAATGCATGATTGGATGTGGGGTGTGGTGCATGTTGCAGGCAATGATCCGAGCATGGAACGCGGCATGCAAATCGACGGAGGCGGCGAGGGTAGTGATTCCCAAGGGAACATTCAAAGCCGGAGAGGTAATTTTCCAAGGGCCGTGCACCGCCCCACCCCCCATCGTCATTGAAATCCAGGGCACGGTTGAGGCCAGCACCGACTTGAGTGACTTCTCTTCCAACTACTGGTTCGAGGTTGAACACGCTCAAGGAGTTGAAGTCACCGGCGGTGGAACCCTCAACGGCCGTGGTGAGGAGGTCTGGAAATTTGCCGATTCCGGCGAAAAAATTAAGAATGCCCCTCTTCTTCCTGTGGTAAGTAATATCATTTTGACCATTCTTATGAACGTATTTATCTCACACTGAAAAACTATAAAACAATAAAACACTATATAAGACTTTGAGATATTCTTCCTATGAGGTTGACCTTTTACGATGGAACATCGGGTCTTAATATGGTATCAGAGTCAAGTCCAGTTGTGATTTGACTGCCTATTTATATTAGCACTCATGATAAATGGTATCTTGTTAAGAATCTTTTTTGCCCATATGTACACCCCGATATTGCGCATCTCGGTTCGGACTAAGGGAGTGTGTTAGAGCATTTGTCCCATACCGAAAAGTTATAAAACAATAAAACACTATATAAGACTTTTGACTAATCTTCTTATTAGTTGACCTTTTAGGATGAAACATCGAGTCTTGACAATTCTGTTTAGGTGAGGCTAGGCAACTCAAACAAAATTTTTACATACATCATGACTTATTGTTTTATTTCCAAAATAAGACTTATTGACTCATGCCTTTGGGAATTAAAGAGGACTGAGAAGTTTTAAGCTAACTAGTAACTAATTCTTTTAACAGGACTAAATAAGCCTTTTTTTAGAGTATAAAACATATTTAGTCATATTTTGAAAATTTTATCTATTTTTTGGTCTTATGAGTTTCTATATTTAATTTACGCATATCTACTTTTAATCAATTATTATTACATGGTATGCATGCATGCAGTCTTTCATCTTCCAAAGTGTGAACAATTCAGCGCTTCACGATCTGAACTTTGTGAATAGCAAAGGGTTCCACATAAAGGTGTCGGACTGCTCAGAGATTAGCGTCTCGAATCTGCAGATTACAGCGCCCGGATACAGCCCTAACACCGACGGCATCCACATCAGTGGCTCTACCAATGTCAACGTCACCGAGCTCACCATCGGAACCGGCGATGACTGCGTTTCCATAGGCGATGGCAACACCAATCTTCTTGTTACCAAGGTCACTTGTGGTCCTGGACATGGCCTCAGGTACATCTCTCCATCTTACCAGCTCTTCTCATTCATATTATACTTCAATCCTGCTTCCTTCCAGGACAAAGTCAGGGCACTGAGCCGGTAGAAAAAGAAATTTTGAATAACATTTTACATGACTTTTTTACCTTAATAAATAAAGCATTTTCAAAATTTGGGGTGGGCCGGGCCTAGATTAGCCTCTAGGTCTGTTTGTTGTCCATGCTTCCTTCTTGTTTAGTTTCACATTTTGGCTCTAATAAAATTAATTTAATTTTATTCCCCAGTAAATATTACTGAATAACATGAAAATTTCATTTTTATATAACATGACGTCATGACGTCGTGGAATTCATAACATGAAGTCACATTAATGCCTGATATGATATATGCTTTCAACATATGGCCGTATGATTTTAGAATAATAATAATTTACTCTTATTTAGAGAACAATGATCTTTTCTCAAAATTTTGCATTATACGAAGTATACTTGATACTTCTACCTATATTTTGGGAAACTCCTCTTCCATTAAAAGAAAAAATAATAAAAATTAACCAAACTAATATTGAAGTATTCCATATTTTGGGAAGAAAACGACACTTCTATGCTATGGTAAATACCTTAATTTAGAAAACTCTCCACTTAGTTCTGTAAATACTTTAATTTAGGAATGAACAAAGTTTATCATTGTACAAATAATGGGATGATCAAAGTTGAGTAAGTGATTAATATGAAGGGAAATTTGACTTTCAGCTTCATTGTTTGAGCTATATATATTAGACTTTACATAGTCTCATTTTCAGAAAAAAAAAACATTGTTTAAGTCTGGTCTGATCTAGCCTGTTTAAGTCTGGTCTTGTCTGCTTAAGTCTGGTCTGGTCTGAACTAGTCTGATCTGGTAAACGTCTGATCTCTGTATATTTTATAACTACGGAAGTTAAGTGGTCTGGTCTGATCTGTTTAAGTCTGGTCTAGTCTATTTAAGTTTGGTCTTGGACTGAAACTAGTCCAAGTAAAAAAAATCCTAAAATAAGTCAAATTAAATAGGTCTACAATATAAAAAAGATAATCCGAAATTTGTTTATCTATGCTTGTGACTAAAATAATTGACATCTGTTTTATGGGGGAATATTATTGAAGAGATACGTGATTTTTTAAAGTATAGAAAATCATGTGAAGAAAATAGGGGATGGTCTTATTAAAAAACAAAATAATAACAAGGGATAGTCCCTTATTAATCTCTCATAACCACTGAAATTTTTTGGATAAGATTTTCTTCCGGGTTGTATAAGGGAGCCGGGGTCATTAATTCCTTATAAAGGTTGTGGCCATGTCAGCATAATTTAATAACAAAGGGATTGCTTATAAATCCCTTATAGGATTTCATAGTCAAATGTAAGACTATCTTTGCAATAAGGGATGAATGACCAACGTGTGTTATAACGAAGTTTCCCTTATTGTGGCCCTTATTAATTTTCAGTCATTCACGTAGTGTATATAGAGTGGGAAGTCAAATTTCATGTAAACCCTAAAACGTTATGGCTAAAGAAGGGATGCAATGTTTAATATTTCCAAGCTAAGTTAGCTTTAATTAATTAATTAACTAAATAAAATATTATTAAATTGCATATGTATAAATGGATGCCCGCAGTGTTGGAAGCCTGGGAAAGAGGCCAGATGAAGATAGCGTGAATGGAGTAACGGTGAGAAACTGCACTTTGATCGGGACAACAAATGGCGCGAGAATCAAGACTTACCGCGCATCCCCAAAGCTGGAGGCAACCGGTATCACCTTCGAGGATATTATCATGCAGAATGTTTCTAATCCCGTCATTATCGATCAAGACTACAGCTCCAAAGACCGAATTGAGGTAATAATTCAATCCTACTTATCCAACTGCCATTTTTTAATTCCTTAAATAAAAGTAATTTCTGTCAAATTTGACATTATCAGACTGTAAACACGGCATTTTTTTTTCAAAATTGGCAAAAATTACTTCTATTTTGAGAAGCATGAAAATCCTATTTTAGGATTTCAAAAAAAAAAATAGTCTATTTTGAGGTACGTAACGTAGAGATGAATTATGTACATGCATGCAGCCATCGAACGTGAAGCTAAGTGACGTCCATTTCCGGAACATAAGAGGAACGGCGGCGATAAAGAACCCAGCAATCGCGCTGACGTGCAGCCAAGCGTTTCCTTGTGAAGGTGTGGAGTTGGAGGACATTGACATTGCGCCGGTGGAAGGTGCTGGCGGCGATCTCAAGCCCAGCTCCTGCCTCAACGCCAAAACAGTTTTGAAGGGGAAACAAAACCCAGCTGCCTGCTAGCTTATTGATCAGTACTCCAGCTATGCTATGCATGCCGGCTGGCTTATACATACTAGCTAGCTAGCTGACCACAGTCCCAATTTACTATACGTACTACGTTGTATATATACACACATACACATACATACACAATTAACCGCGACTAACATGCATGTATGGCGCTACTACTATACCACTGATCTGATATGTATGTATGTATTGTCCAATATCTACAACGACCTAATTATTAGCATACTTACTATACTTGTTTCCATAATTTCATTGTTTATTTTACTTCCTACTTCCTATGATTCATGAAAAAGTGTGGTGTTTGGTATACAAGCTTAGCTCGCTAGGGCCATTAAAAATGTGGCAATAAGGGACTAAGGGTCCATGAGTCCATCCTTACATAGGGCGTTTTCTTAAAAGTTAAAACACGAGAAAAGCCAACATGTAAGGCAAAAGAACGTGAAACTTTACAAGGTTTCTCGGAATATAAAGGTCGGAAAGTCATATTCCAAAATCCAAACGATCCGAAGTAAGGTTTTAAAAAAAAATCATTTAGATTTGCCTATTTCAAACAACACTTTTTATTTTATTTTATTTTACATAAAAGGCATTCAATTCCACATTTCCACTATTCCAAATGATCGGAAATATACCATTGCATTGATGCATGTTTGAGTCCATATCAACTTTTTAGAAGTTTATATACCATTGCACTGCTCTGTTTTGGCTATTATATATAAAGAGAGAAACCCGAACTGTACTTGGTCTGGTTCTCGGGTCGGTGAAGAAGTTAACATGGAACTCTTCACTTGTTAGTTGTTACAATTGTGAAGAGTTGCAGGTTAGCACTAAACACTTTCCTGTCATGGCCTTCAGGTAAGATTTCATTCAAAGAACCTCCTATGCCGTACAGAGTAACATCAGGGAGTCTCTGTTGCTTTCCTGTCACTGCACCATGACTGATTCCATACACACGCAATGATATGATCAAAATTCCACCATCAACTAAATAAATAGTAGAATAATTACAGGCAGAAGAACTTATTGTTACAAGAGAGCAAGAGTGACCATAAAAGGTATTAAAATGCCAGTTAGTGTTCTTCTCATTGCAGTGATTAATAGGCAAGACAATTATTCCACAGTTGAACAGACTTTTTCTCATTGTCCAAGTGCCCGTTGTCTGCTACTTGTGGACAGTTGTGGTGCAGAGCATATTCCTAAAGCTAAGCCATAACAAACGGCTGATCAGTTTTTGCAGCGGAAACACTCCACAGTTCTTTTTAAAATTGCATGATGAATAATAAAGGAGATTAAAACAAGGAGAAACAGGTGCCTAGTAGGTGGATAAATATAAACTCATAGAACCATTCTATATGGAATTATAAAGAAATTTGTTGATTTAGTCCATAACTTATCTGGTTGATTTTGTACTTTCGGCAGTTTTTTTTAATATGGCAAATTTATTAGTTATACAACAGAACCTGCAAGTGAGTATATTACACGACTAATAAGCAGACACAAGTCACAGAACTGAATCAACAAATTTCCCAGAATCACGTCATTCACGTGGTTAAACCAGAGAGAAATGGAGGGACAGAGAGGGAATTGAACCATGACAATTATAGGAATAACCTTCACTTGATGTAGACAACAAAGGTCAAATATGGTCACATTGAACAAAGAATGTATGGAAACCACATATGACTCTCTTGTAGAGATAGAAAAAATGAAGTCATAAAGACTTATTTGGACTCATTATCACCATCCTTCATTTGCATAGTGAGGTCATCCACTATGACCCAACTATAAAAATGAATGATTTGATGGAACCAAATACGCCTATTTGAGTCCATAATTTTTTTTCCCTTGAATGTCCTACTTGTGTAACCAACAGCAAACAAGAACTATTCAGATGCATGTTTAATGGTTTACCAGTTTCATGGTTGTCATGGCGTATTGTGTGACATCCATGGCTCAAAGGCATTTTCCATGGCGATGGCTATGGCGCATTAATGACATCACCACATGACAAATAAATAACTAAAAGTATGAACTATAGATACTATAATTCTATCACTCAACTACCAAAAATATAAAAAAGTTGAATATCAACATTCTAAGCAAAACATGTGAAGATAAATAGTTTAAAGTAGTTCCAAAAAATAAACGAGTAATATTCTAAAAAGATCATTTCTTCAAAATATCTCAATTAGATATTGTTTGATGATTATGCCATAATCATCATCAATTATCACACTCCTCATCGTCTCGAAGGAGTTCCCTTTAGTTGTTCCCTGATGCGCAGCTATTAGACTCCAGTTTTCACATTAGTTCAGCAGCTTTCTCTGAATTTATGTTCATTGTACCTTTGTTTACTTTTTATTAGGCTTTTGGTCAATATAACGGGTAGAGTGGTAGACATATTAATTTCTTATCAGGGTTTTATTAATATTATGGACTGGCAGATTATTTAAATATTTATCCAGGCCAAAGCCCATAAATAACCAAGTAAATGTGTTTAAATCTCTTTTAATATTATGGCACACATGCCATGGCTATGGCGATGGCACCAATATGGCACCGCCATGGCGATGGCGCCAATATCGCCACATGGCGCATGGCGCGCCATTTCTCGGCATCGACAACTCAAATGCATGGTAGGTACGGTACCCCAATTTTTAAAAGGGTACCAGAGTTGTCACCTTTTTTTATTTAAAAATACTTGTTAAAACACAAGGTTCAGCTGTCCTGCTCAAAAGTCAGATTTACTTTTCAAAGAGAAACTGCACCAGAGACTTGTAAAGATGTCAAAAGGGCAATATGATCATTTGTACTACTCCATATATATATACCCTTATGAATGCATGTATTCTACATTCATTTATAACAAGTGCTGCCAGCTTCTCATATTTAGCTATTCTAAGTACTTGGATTTCAACATATTGCCTATGTTGAATCTAATAGGAAGTAGAAAAGCATGAAAAAACAGAACTATACAACAACAACATCATCCAAGTCTTAATCCCCAAAGAATTTGAGGTTGGCTAACAGAACTATCTGTGTATTAAATTACTAAACTGAAAGAAAATATAGAACAAGGGCCTCAAGAGAGAATTCCACGAGTCCCGAAAAAACTCTCCAGCAAAATGCCTTTCCCCTTTAGTAAAGGTGAAAATTTACTCCAAACTGACGTCTCTAACCTCTCTATGTCCTCTCAAATGAGGGTACTTATTTATAGCCTAATACAAGAATATAAACTAGGTAAAATCAACCAATTATTCCTAATATTACCCTACTGATGAAGTAATATAATCTTTCATTTAAGCACATCTAAGGTTTGAAATTATTATTTTAGTAAGGCTTTTGGTTTAAAGGTTGATTCTCAAGCTACCTTAAGAGAGGTTTGCCATATGTGGCAGTATCATCATTCTGAGAGCAGGGGGGTCATGCTGCATCTGCAAGACTGCAACTGTCCAATGAATTATGGAAGAATTGATATAAAGCAGTATGAGAGAAGAAATGTCAGCTCGGCATTAAAACTACACCATTAGCAACAAAATAACACCACCCCAATTGTTCACTACAGCACAAACACTGCCCACCTCTGCACTCAACTGGGAAGCATCAGGTATTGAATACAAAAAAATCACCAAAGCAGCAAAGCTTGGGAGACCCTCTTGTCACCTCACAAAGGACACACTTAATTTGTTCTTAACCACATGTTTATGTTATTAATGCAGTTAAACTAGACAAAGTAAATGGGTAATAACATAAGAGCTGCTTAAAGTGTTGGTAAGTAGCTACCATACTTGTCACGGCGGTAAGGCGAGTCGCGGCGCCAGCTGACCGCCATATCGCCTAGGCGACAAGGCGCCCGCCTAGGCGACAATTAGGCGACTAATCGCACATTATATAAATTTATAATACTACGTATATTATATATAATTATATATATAACTACATATAATATTGTATTTAACTATATTTAATTTGTACTCCGTAACTTATTATATAACATAAGTGCTTCTTATTTTAGTATTTTAGTGTATTATTCAATTCAATCTAAATATATTAATATTCTAATACTAATAAACTGCAATAAAAAATATGTTTATGAAACACAACAAAGAAGAACATACGTATTTATAAAAAGAAAAGATATTCTATATATATATATATATATATATATTAATTTATATAAAAATATGTAGTATAAGATTTACTTTGTGTCCCACTTGGCCACTCTCCACCCCTAAAAAAGCATACACCTGTCCCCTTGCAGTATTAGATAAGGTAGTAAGATACATTAGAAGAAAAGAAGAAGTAACTAAAGAGAGAAAAAAAATTGTGAATTAACCCATAGAACGACCTGGGAGCTCTTTCCGCGAGCTCGACTTCTTTCCGCGAAGTACATGCTGTATTAAGAAGTACCTCAAAACGTTGGATGCTCGACTTCTTTCCGCGAGGTTGAAGCCGGAGTTGTATGGGACGACGATTGAGTTTACGAAGGGTCAAGTAAGATTTGGGCTTTATTTCGTAACTCCTAATTTTATTTCCAAAAACTAAATCTGGGCCTTCGGTTTGGACTTAGAATTACGGAGTATTATTCTACGACTTCTTGTTTGGCGAACGCCTTGTCGCCAAATCGACGACAGGACGACGACAGGAGGACGCCATGCTCGCCTATTCTTCTTCTGGCGAGGCGATGGCTCTTGGCGACCTCTCCCCAGCGACTGGACACCTAGTCGGCGCCTAGGCGACGCCGTAACAACCATGGTAGCTACATGACCTCCCGGGTATTAAATGGTGTTTTAAGTTTTTATATATTTATGATATTATTACTCCTAAGTTCTAACATTAAAAATATTAGATTGATTGATTCCACTTCATACAACCTCTGCTAGCTTCCGACCATCACCATCACCGACTGCATCCACCACAAGCTGCCAACATTGCAGAGGTGCTGCTGCCATTGGCAACACGTATCAATATATCAGCTGCCACTGACATCTTTACAGGCCATTTGGCAATAGTAGTGGTCAGCAGTTGCACATTGGTTGCCGCCGCCACTATTGTTGCACATCCTCATCACGGGCTGCAGTTGGCCACCACAGTTAAAATGCCACCGCTGCTTTATGCCCTACGATGCATTGATACTTCATTGCGTGTTGTATCCATGTTTATGATCATATGTGATACTGATACTCATCCATGTGTATATTTATTGACTTTGTGTGTTGGTGTTATACATGTGATTTTGTAAAAGTAACAAAGCTGTTTATAAAAAAGAAAAACTTTTGACACGCTCATACACATATTCATCAATAACATATTTAAGTCAACCTTCCACAGCAACATTATTGACCGCATTCAGCACTCACATATTCAGTCAATCAATGAAATAAGTCTCTTATATCCAAATAATAATTACTGTTGAATGAAATATGAACTTTGAAATTTCATCATCTTAAGAACATTTGGTACAATTGTTATTGTATTTATGAATATTTAAAATAATATTTAATACGGAAAATTGTCAAATAGGTCCCGTACTCTGTCAAAAAAGACAGTTAGACCCCGTACTATGTCAAAACACCGAATTAAACCTTCGGACTTTAAAAAAAACGTCCAATTGAGCGATTTAGCAAGTAACCAACCAGTTTCCCTGATAACTTGATGTGTAGCGGCTCGCGTGGCTATTATCTTCAGTGTCTCCTTTTTCTTTTTCTCCTTTCTTTCTTTCTTTTTCTGTTCACTTTCTTCCTCACAGGGATCTGGTCACTCCAATCCCGGCAATCTGTTGGGTTTCTTCCTCGCCTGCAGCTTTCCAACCATTTCATTCTCATCCAGCTTCAGAATCAGCAGGTTTTCCTTAGATCACCATACGTATTTCCATCCCAATTTCTTCTTACCAATTCTTCCCCTAAACTTAGAGAACCTTTAGAGAAATGATATTAGCATAAATTGGGATGGCACAGGGGTATATGGATCTGCAATTCCCAATCGGAGATCGTCTGGCAAATGAAGCTTGGAAGTCCGGATTGAATTCGCGATTCCAACATCAATGGCGTCCGACGTTTTTCTACAGCTCTAAATTGCATCGGCGAGGGCACGGCCTGCCTGACAACTTAGAGGGGAGGGCAAGACACTTCTGACGGGGCCAGTTGGATGGGTCGGCCGTTGGCTCACAGTACTTCAGAGACTCTCGATGGCAGTCGGCGGATGACAGAGATTGGGCATGGTGAGGGTACTCGGGCAGAGATAGCATCGGCGATGGGGCAAGAGAGGAGTGGACTACAGTTGGTCAACATCCTTCTGCTCAGCCACGGCGGTGCATCCATCTGGTCAGCACGGATCTGGACTCCCGCTGCAGGAGTATGAAAATGAACGCAGAGAGAGAGAGAGAGAAAGAAAGAAAGAAAGGAAAAAGAAAAAGAAAAGACCCACAATAGCCATGTGGGTCGCCACATGTGCACTTAACCAGGAAACCGGTTGGTTACCCACAAATGAGACAAACATTTTTTGTAAATCATTAGGAGAGAGGATGCCTCAAGAACAAAAAGACAAAGAGGCCATGAAAAATAGTGAAATTACAAAAATAAGAAGCCATCTGAATCAGCTCTGGTGTTTGCTTTTTTTAAAGAAAAGAACGCAATTTTATTAGATGAAAGAGCAAAGAAAAGTACAAGAAAGATACAAAAATTAAAGCTAGAAAGGGAAAACAAGGAAAAAGAAAAATGCAATATCTAAACCAACCCGCAGAGCAACTAAGAAGTACCACCCGAGAGAGCAAAAGAGCTTATTCTAGACTGAAGAGATCCATACGAGATTGGGATCTCTGGTGTTTGCTTTATTATTCCAGTAAATTACGACATGGATTTTTAATTTGAATACTCAAACGGCAAAGAAGATGCTATCAAAATATCCATCTGAATCAGCTCTGATGTTTTCCTTTATTATTCAGTAAATTACGACGTGGATTTTTAATTTGAATAATCAAAAGGAAAAGAACTTTTCTTTTCTTTTTGGTTCCGATATCATGGACTGATTCATGTTAGCTGACCCCAGAAGGCAAAGAAGATGCCATCAAAATATCTCCATCTGAATCAGCTCCGATGCTTTCCTTTATTAACTTCATCAGTACAATGTGACGTGAATGTTTAATTTGAATAATCAAAAGGAAAAGAGGATAACAGCAAAGTATGTACTGCAACCAAACGGATTTAAAATGTACATAATATTGTAGCAAGAACAACATGACTACTCCAGTAGGAAATTAATCTAATCAAGTCTCCATCTGAAACAATATGTGATAAAGAACCTCAATGGCAAGTGCCGATGCTATGCTGAAGGTAAACAGTACCTCTTATTAGGTAGAAAGGGCCTTGCAAGTAAACCCTTCATGCACAAGTTGATTGATTGCATCCCTCAGCTTGAAGTAATCATCAACTGTATTGTAAATTTGATGAGAAATTCGGGCATATCCTGTAACACAACCAATCTCATCAGTGTTTCCATTTGACTCCCCATCTTCTAATCCCTGATAATGAATCGGGACTTCCACCATAAAACGATTTCTCAAAAGTGTTCTCAAATTTAAAGCATCGTCTGCAGTCAGAATTCCCAAGCATGCAGGCAAGCCAACCATAGCCATGCTAGGACACATGTCTGGAGGTGACCCAAGATTTGTTCCCCAATTCTTGGCTAACATTCCTCCCATTTCAACAACAGCATCATGATTCCTCATCCTAATTCCCTCAATTCCACCCTCAAACCTATTAACAAAATCTAACACCTCGGGTATAACTAGCTGTGAGCTATAGTCTCGGGTTCCAATCCATGCACTCTCTATGGCCAGTCCATTTCCATATTCATGTGAGACCACTGGATGATGTAACTCAGAGACCATGGCTGACTTTTTACAGTACAAAACGGCTACTGAAGGTGGGCAAAAGAACCATTTGTGCAAATTAGTGACATAAAAATCTGCCCCAATTTCTTTAACGTTCACATCAACACTGCCTAATGCATGAGCAGCATCAACAAATACCTGTTCCACGCCTTCTTCTCTGCAGATTCTAACTAGGCTGTTTACTGGAATGATGACAGCTGGCATTGAAGTAATGTGATCAATTATAGCCAGCCTGATTTTCCTACCATTGACTTTGCCCTTAGCCAAGGCATCACGAAACTTAGCAATTATTTCTTCATTGGAACTAACAGGAAATGGAAGATGAACTACGATAACAGAACCTCCGGCACGAGTCACATATGCCTCAATTGATTTCTTAACGGCTTGAAACGCACAGTGAAGCATCACAACGGCGTCCCCTTTCTGGAAGCGGCCCTCAGCAAAGGCCCACCCGACGTGTTGGAGGACGATTGCAGCTCCGGTTGTGGCATTATCTACAAGAGACACCTCGTCAACGTGGTCAGCATTTATGAGAGTCTTGATCAGGTTACGCGAATGGAGGATACGCTTCTGAAGGTGGTTGAAGAAGAAGTCGTCTGGTTGTTCGAGGAAGCGAAGCTGCCACCGTTTTTGGGCGGCAATGATGGAGGCAGGGCAGCTCCCAAAGCTGCCGTTGTTAATTCGAACGATGCCTTGTTGATGGTGGGCGAATTCTTCAAGGATTTCAGATTCGGAAATGAAAGTACGGGGAGCAGATAGCTTTGGTTTCTTGAACAAATGGCTACCATCTTCGTGGTGGTTGTGATCATCGCCGTTGGTTCTGCGATCATCACGAGGACCATCCATGGCGAAAGGCAAATCCTATCTGGTTGGTGTTAGGGTTTAGAAGCTGTTCTCTTCGCCTGATCTGAATGTTTCTGATCTGAATTTTTTAAGTTCTGATCTGATCTGATCTGAATTTTTCTGATCTGATCTGATCTGATCTGAATCTTTCTGATCTGATCTGATCTGATCTGAATCTTTCTGATCTGATCTGATCTGATCTGAATCTTTCTGATCTGATCTGAATGTTTCTGATCTGGTCTGATCTGATCTGAATGTTTCTGATCTGATCTGAATCCTTCTGATCTGATCTGAATCTTTCTGATCTGATCTGATTTGAATGTTTCTATGATTATAATTATGATTATAATTATAATTATAATTATTATAATTGCAATTACAAATATAATTTAAATAAAATTATAATTATAATCGTAACTATAATAATAATAATAATAATAATAATTAAAATTAAATTTAAAATGAAAAAATTTATACCTATTACACTAATTATAAATATAGATATAATTATAACTGTAATTATAATTACAATATTTATCTCTATAATTGTAACTATAGTTATCAATATTATTTTAATTACTCCGTAAAATAATTACAATAGTAATAATAATAATAATAATAATAATAATAATAATAATAATTTATAATTATAATATAATTATAAGTATAATTATAATTATTATAATTCTAATTAATAATAATTATAATTATATTAAAATTAATTACAATATTATAATATAATAATATAATCATTATTATTATAATTATAATTAATAATAATTATAATTATATTAACATTAATTATAATATTATAATTTAATAATAGTACTATAAATACAATTAATATTATCATAACGATATTATTATATTAATATTATTATTACAATATATTAATAATAATACGATTATTATTATTATTAGTATTATATTATTATAATATTATATTATAATTATAATTATGATTGTAATTATAATTATAATTATTATAATTATAATTAATTATAGATATAATTATAATAATTACAATTGATTATACTTATAATTATAAGAATTATAATTGTAATTATAATTATAATTACATATAATTATAATATAATATTATAATAATAATCATATTATTATTATTATATTGTAATAATAATAATAATAATAATAATAATAATAGTCTTCTTAATAATTGCATTTATATTACTATTATTATATTAAAATATTATAACTATTATTAATATCTTATTTCTTTATCATATTATTATTAATATATTAATAATAATTATATAATAATAATAATAATCATAATAGTAATAACAATATTAATAATAATAATTAATATAATAATAAAAGTGATAAATCATGTTTGAACTTTTCTGATCTGATCTGATCTGAATGTTTCTGATCTGATCTGAATGTTTCTGATCTGGTCTGATCTGATCTGAATCTTTCTGATCTGATCTGAATCTTTCTGATCTGATCTGATCTGATCTGAATCTTTCTGATCTGATCTGATCTGATCTGAATTTTTCTGATCTGATCTGATCTGATCTGAATAAAATAAGAATAAGCAATAAGTAATAAGAATAAGACGAACAGAACAGCACCTTAGTTTAAAGATTAAAGATTGTTGTTTTATTCTGTCGGCCCCACTCTGTATCCGTTAAGAGCAATTTGCTTTTGTTAATTGCCGCTTACCTCATAAGCATTTTCATTCATTGGGGGTGTAATCTTTCAAAAAAAATCATTAGGGGTGTAATGATGGGTAAAATCCAATATTATCCAAAAATGAGATGTAAAGTCAAATTCCTCCTAAAAGTGTGGGTATAAAAATATTTTGATTGAAAAAACTTACAAAAAAAATTATTTCTACAAGTATTTCAACAATTTTTACATTGACTTGTCAAAGTGTCAATTTACCAATGAGGAAAAACAAAATAATCAAATAAATTACTACATAATATTGATTCAAACTTGATAACCCTTAATTAAGCCTACTGTTAACACAACTTTAACCTTTATAATTTTATGTTTACCTTGTTTTGTCTCAAATATGTAAAATTCCTAAGCCTATTAAGCGATCAGTTGGAATTAGTCAACTAAGCTTGACAACCTCTTACGGTATGTTTGGGAGTTCGGAGGGAAGGGAAGGGAGGGGAAGGTTAGGGGGAGCGTCGGACGGGTTCGGGGGAGCGTCGGACGGGTTCGGGTAGGATGGGTTGGGTTTTTGCATACCCTTTCGTTTAATGGGTTTAGAATTAAAAAAAAAACCTACCTTGTCCAAAAAATATTTCGGGCTAATCGGGTTGCACAATTTCGGATTTGGATCGATTTTAATCGGTTTTTGGGGCCATTCGGGCTGATAAAAAATCCATTAAAAACATAACATGATACATTTATAAAATCACATTCAAAAATAAAATTTTGTACAATTAAACTTTACAAACACAAGTAAAATACATAATAATATTATATCAAAAGCACTTGCAAAATACGTAGAGTTTGTACAACTCCAAACACATAGCTAAAAGTTATACACTTATACACTCATACACATTACTACTTAGTACTTACTTATACAGTTATAACTGTTATACTGCTTATACATAAAGCAGTTTAAAAGTTCCAAAACAGAGTGTTTACAAATTACTCAAAATTTAGAGATTGAGTAATCAAATGTTCCAAAACAGCAAATACCAACAAAAAGTTTAACAACATTCAATTGATGTACAAGTTTGAGCAATTTCACAGATCATCAACCAAATACTCAATGATTTTGTTCCTATGTAAGTCACAAGAAAATACATTAGTATCATAAAACAGTAAATAAGATTTGGCTCAGATTTAGTTTCAGTTCACTAATAATGGGGGCATTAATCACTATATAGAATTAGAATCATCACCAAACCCATTTATTTCATTTTCTGGTAGAACTGTAGAAGGCTAGAAGCCATCATCATTGCCAAAGTAAGTAAACAATTCATGTAAGAAGTCATAATTCATAAATACATAGGAAAATTGCATAAGTAAAACCAAGGCAGCAAGCAGCATATCCTTAATTTGACTCAGTTTTGTATCCTTAATTTAATTTTTTTGGTGGAAGCTATCATCATTGCTTAAATAATGCAACAATTAATCTAATAACTCATAAGTCATAAATACATATACATAAGCAAATTCCATTTTACTGTCTAAGTGGCAGCATGTATCTTGTTATATTTGGCTCATATTTATATTGACTTCACTATTAATGGAGCCATACGAAACTATATAGAAATAGAATCAACACCAACCCATCAATTTCATATTTGGTGGAAGCTATCATCATTGCCATATATATGATAATCAATTTAACTCAGTATTCACATTACCAAATTCCAGTAGTTCCATCAAGGCAGCATGTATCTTGTTATATTTGGCTCAGATTTATATTGACTTCACTATTAATGGGGGCATACGAAACTATATAGAAATAGAATCAACACCAACTCATCAATTTCATTTTTTGTGGAAGCTATCATTATTGCCAGATACATGTTACACTTAATCAATTAACTCAATATTCACATTACCAGATTCCAGTAATTCCATCAAGGCAGCATGTATCTTGTTATATTTGGCTCATATTTATATTGAATTCACTATTAATGGGAGCATACGAAACTATATAGAAATAGAATCAACAACAACCCATCAATTTCATTTTTTTGTGGAAGCTATCATCATTGCCAAATACATGTTACACTTAATCAATTACCATGTCTTGTTGTACAAAGTACAAACACAATAATTAGGTGAAATTGTACCAGTGAATCATCAACATTCAACACTTCCAATACCATGACAGCAACATGGTTATGTTTTTAAAGCCAGATCATTGACAGAATCATAGAAAATCACTAGTGAAATAATATATTACATAATTAAAAGATAAAGGTAAAGAGTATACTACTATCTGATCAAGAGAAGGGCCTCCACCAACATTGCCATCAGTTAATTCTGCATTGAAAACAATATGAAGTTAACAATAAGTATAAATATAAAGATTGAATAGTAAATAAGTAAAAGTTAGTACCTGTTTCCAGCCTGTCTACCTCCTCAATATTTTCTTCAACTGACACAAGCTGGTTTGACATCCCCAACCAGTCTTGAGCACATATAAGCGCTTCTACAATTTTGGCACTCAAGGAACTCCTAAAACAGTCCAACACTCTTCCACTTGTACTAAAAGTGGACTCAGAAGCTACTGTGGAAATAGGAACACCAAGAATGTCTCTTGCCATCTTAGATGGGATATGAAACCTCTCACCATTAAGCTTCCACCATCTCAATATATCAAATTCATTGTCCTCCTCAAGAATGTTCTCACTCAAATACAGTTCAAGTTCATTTTTTTCAACCCTAAGAGGCCACTATCTTGTTTTTTCTTTTTCAATTGGGCTTTGAATTTAGAGACATGCCTACTTTCAGTTGACTCATATTGTAAAGAAACAGAACTGGGGGTTAATTGAGAGCTTCCACTGGCCGAAACATCATAGATTGTAACATAATCACCATACAACTCATTCAAACCCAGCTTTATCTTTGCAAAGAATGCCTCACCTATTTTATCCCCATACAAAGCATTCAATTGATGTGGCATGTATTCATATTTGTCTCTAGGGTCAAAGACATTTGCAAAGAAAATGAGCATGTTCATTTTTTCTGGATCACCCCAATACTTATCCAGTTTGGATTCCATACTAGTCCCCATTTTAGATACAGATTCAGTTTCAGAAGCAACCATTTCTTTGAGAACAAGGAACAGATCAGATATTTCAGAGAAGAAGGTATTTGCAGTGACATAAAGAGAGCCTGAAATCCTAATTGTCATATCATAGAAATTTTTAAGAATGACCACCAAAGTTTCAATTGCAATCCAGTCCCCAACATCAGGACTCTCACTCCCCAGATCAACAAGATAGGAACTCTCATTCTCCTCATAAGCTTCAAACACTTTTTCATTGGACATTGCACATTTGAGCATCAAACAGGTTG